GGTGACACATTCATCCCGCTCACTGCATGCATATGCAGCTGTGGTGACACACTCATCCCGCTCACTGCATGCATATGCAGCTGTGTGGTGACACACTCATCCCGCTCACTGCGTGCATATGCAGCTGTGTGGTGACACACTCATCCCGCTAACTGTGTGCATATGCAGCTGTGTGGTGACGTAGAGAATGGCTCTTATCAACTGCAAGGTAAAACAGTATTAACACAAAGGCCGACTCTGTCTACTGATACCACTTCAGGGAAAGAGGGCTGTGTTTCTAAGCCTTGTGTAAAAATAATGTTTTTATCTCATGGCTGATGGACTTAGTAGGCTAAATTTTTTGAACACTGAATTGTTTTTTGAGCAGATAGGTGGTTTTAAGTTGGATTAGAAATTTCATGGGTCAGTAAGCCACCTGACAAATGCAAGTAATACCAATTGCAGTGAGGCGGGACAAGAGCGATTGACGTATATAAGATGCTTGGGAAAGGCTCAGTGTTATAGAGGATTTTTGCATATAGCACACTGAAATTTCTCCATAATAAAAAGGAAGTCCAGGGATGGGTGTAGTCTGAGGCATGTGGGTGGGGTCCTGCCTACAGAGCTTTGCCAAGACGCGCCTTAGGTGGGAGTGAACTGACCTGTGAAAATATATCTTTGTAACATTTGATGGAGAGGGTCTCTGAAAACAGTATCTCCAAGATATTTTTGTTTCCTCGTAGGATGAAAACAAATTCCGAGATGGTGTGTCTAAGAAACTTCAAAAGGTGTAGACCTCCCGATTGAAGCGTGGTGGCTTTGACTCATTTCTTCGTGACAGTGAGTATAAACACAGTCAGTGTTGTTGAGGTCAGTGCTGGCCTGGAGTCTTTGTTGAGCAAGCTCTACTCCCTGTCAAATACTTTCTTCATTATTGAGCCATTATTTCTTCCCAATATCAGTTTGAGATATTAAATGGCTATAACTCTCAAGAACTGTAGGGAATGAGTAAGTTCATAAGCTCAGGCTGGAAAAATCTCTGGAGATGATATGATTCACTCTTATTTTCCATTACAAGAAATATTTTCCATTACAAGAAATTTGTAGTGTTCCTGGTGGACAGTTATTTTATCCATCAAGACCCAGCTAGGACAGAGAGCTGAACTGTTGAAAGAACATCCACTTAAATGATGTTCCACCAACACACAAAATCAGATGACTGGTCTCACATGGTAGCACATACCTATAATTCTACCAGAAATTCAGGGCCAGCCTTGGCTATATATCATGTTTAAGCCAGCCTGGGCTACATGAGACCTTTCCCCCTAAAATATGTCTTTATCAACCTTCTACTCAGCTAGTTCTGCCTCTAAAACAAATCCACATATTCTTTCATGTATGAGGAACATTTTGCCACATTTTTAAAGGAGACAGAAAATATCTATTCACCACAGATGAGGTACCAACAGAACAAAGAAACTAATTCCATCCAGTCTTGCTTGATAAACCAATGAGTTCATTGGGGTTACTGCCAGGAGGAGGGGCAACAGATCACAAAAGCTGTAATACTGTAAAAAAAAAAAATAAAAATAAAAAATAAAATAAATAAAAACACTCCTCTAGCCCCCTAATTCTCTATTCTCCCCCAATTCCAACTCCCCCCATCATCCTTTCATGCCTTGTGCCAGCACCCCAAACACTGGGTGCAGCTCCAGTGGGAATGGGAGATACACTCTCAGCTAGGGCTCTGGTGACATTCCTTACCTTCCCAGGAGGCAATGTTAACACCTTATTACAGGCCTAGCTGTCACCACACCATGTTGCGTATTTCATTGCCATGACCACACAGCCAGTGTGTGCTGTTGGTCACCAGAGCAGTGTGATCCGTGGTGGCCACTGGGTTGTATCAGGTTCCAGCGTGCACACAAGTGTTCCTTTCCATCCCTGCTGTGGTCCCCGCCTTGTGTTCCTCCGTCATGGAAGGTTTGAGGTAGCCACTCCTGATCATGCTGTTGCCTGTTTTGTCTTTAACGGAGTGCTAGGTTCCAAGCATGATCTCACTAAACAGGAACAAAACTGCTGCCCCGTTATCGGGGGATCACTGTTAATATGGCCAAAGGTTGGGTCACTATTGAGCATAAACGTTATTACACGGTTGGCTGGAAGTACGCACACTTGGTTAAAATCCATAAAGTTTTCTTTCTTTCTTTTTTTTTTATGTTATTTCATCCAGTGATGTTTTCTACGAACCCTTTTCTGTTGTGCTTTTGGTTTTATTGTTGTTGTTGTTGTTGTTGTTGTTGTTTTACCAGAACAATTCTATGAATCTCGTGTAATTCTTGAGATTGGGGTGGAGGGCAAGGTTATTTTGCTTTGACACAGAATTGTGGTTAACTGCAGTGAGAGTCAGAATGAGAGGAATTAAGGATCAGATCTGCTAACAGAGTAAAGGAGGAAAGACCTGGTGAACTTTACAGTCTAGCCCTGGATCTGTGGAGGAAACTGAATACATTTACGATTCTATTCCAAGAGAGGATATAAATAAAAAGAGTGAGCCTACATCCCAGGAGGTAAAGTAAGGGATCAAGGGGTGTCTTAACAGGTGGAAGAGAAGGTAAGAGCGTGTGGTCAGATGAGCAGGACCTGCCGAGGATGCCAGCACAAGAGATTGCTCACTTGTAGCAGCCTCTGTAACAGGCTCCTGGGACTTAGATTGTAGCACTCCTAGAACTCAAGGTTGAGTACCTGTTTCTCTAGAAGGACGAGTGAGAACCAAGGAGACTTTGGAGGAGATGTCACTGGTGTAATGGTCTCTAGAGAGTAACTGAGGCCCAGGAAAGGGGATGACTTAATACTCAAGAAGGCAAGAAGAAGCCCATGGACATGGGGTAGGTAGGTCTGCCCTGCCAGCTACCATGATTTTTTGTTGCTATCTTAGTCAGGGGAGACACCATGACCATGGCAACTCTTATAAAGGAAAATGTTTAATTGGGGCTGGCTTACAGTTTAGGTGGTGTGCAGGCAGACGTGGTGCTGGAGTAGTAGCTGAGAGTCCTACATCTTGGAGGCAACAGGAAGTCGACAGTGGGCAGTGGCCTGGGCATAGGAAACCTCAGAGCCCGCCCCCACAGTGACACACTTCCTCCAACAAAGCCACACCTAATAGTGCCGCTCCCCATCAGATTATGGGGGCCAGTTACATTCAAACCACCACAGCTGTTGTCCTGCAAACACTTTGCAAGATTCAACCGCCTCCCTGTATGTGACGCTCTGCCGTCTTACTGGCAGTCTGGGTTTTGCTGACTGGATTTGCTTTTGAGAATTTGACCCTTTAGGGATCAGACCCTAATTCTTCCTCCTGCCTTGTACCCTCACTGCAGTCCCCCCCCCCATAATTTGTGTCAAGGTGAGATAACCTTGCCCCGTCCTCCTAATCCCCAAAGGATTATGTGAGCCAAACAGAAAATTCTCGTGTTAAGCCCCAAAATATCATGAACACACTAGAAGGGGGTTCTTAGAAAGCATTACTGATAATTTATTGTAAAGGGTCTGAGTCTTTCACACCTTGGTTTTGAAGGTAAGAACGGCCAGCAAAGGGGACACCATGATCCAGCGCCCCTATAGCTCTGTGCTGTCCCTTTAAACATGAGGTTCCCCTGTCCTCCTCGGGGCTCCTCTCCACCACTCCTTTTTAAACCATTACAGCTGTTTCCCCACCTTTAAATGCTCTGAAGTGTTCACACAGCCATGTACTTAAGTGACGTAGTGGAGGCCTGGAGAGAACAGGGAGGTTGGTGTTGCCATTTCCTTTGTGAGGACTGGGCGGAGTCCTCCAAGCCTGGGGGATGCTTCTGTGAGGCAGAGCTTGCTCGGAAAGGCTCTTGGTGGTGGTTGAGATGACTCTTTGGTGGCAAACAACACTGCCCACGGGGGTTCCGTCTGGGAAGGAGCTTATTTGGGTTTCAGAGGGTAGGACGTGTGTGAGAACAGTTAACCCGGCCTTGGAGATTTCAGAGGGTAGGACGTGTGTGAGAACAGTTAACCCGGCCTTGGAGTTAAAATCCAGGAGGCAGCTGCAGAGCTGTCCCCAAGGCCCTTTACAGGAGTGTCACCAAATGGTCCCCAGACTTTCTAGCTTGGTGTGGTTTAGGTTGGAGTTGAAACTAGAAGCCTTACCTGCCCATGGATCCGTCCTCCATCCTGAGTTTTACCTCTCTGCTGAAATCCTGCCGGGTAGGTAGAACGAGTGTGTACAGGCATGAGCGTGAGATGCACCCCAGGTGCTGGTGCATATGTGTCAGCCCAGCAACTGGAAGGGAGAATCAGGAAGACTGGGAGCTTAAGGCAAAGCCTCAGCTACATAGGGAGTTTGAAGCCAGCCTGGGCTACCTGAAACCCTGTCTCAGAGCACAAACACACACCAACAAAAGGGTGCGCTGGAATGGTTTCAGCGGGGGTTTCTTTTCTTTCCTCCTCCAGTTTCCGTTCTCTACAAGGGAGTCATGATCACACTAACGGAGCTGAAATACTTAGCAGACGCCCAGTCGTCCTATCAAATCCTGAAGCCGTGGTGGGACGTCTTCTGGTACTACATCACCCTCGTCATGCTGCTGGTGGCCGTGCTGGCCGGCGCCCTGCAGCTTACCCAGAGCAGGGTTCTGTGCTGTCTCCCATGCAAGGTGGAGTTCGGCAATCACTGCGCCGTGCCTTGGGACCTTCTGAAAGCCGGCGAGAACACGTCCTCGACCCCGGGCATGCTCCTCCCGGCACCGCTCCGGATCCAGAACGACCTCCACCGGCAGCAGTACTCCTACATCGACGCTGTCTGTTATGAGAAACAGCTCCACTGGTTTGCCAAGTTTTTCCCCTACTTGGTGCTTCTGCACACACTCATCTTCGCAGCCTGCAGCAACTTCTGGCTTCACTACCCCAGCACCAGCTCCAGGCTGGAGCACTTTGTGGCCATCCTTCACAAGTGCTTCGATTCTCCGTGGACCACGCGTGCCCTGTCAGAAACAGTGGCCGAACAGTCGGTGAGGCCCCTGAAACGCTGCAAACCCAAAACCTTGCTCGTAAACCCCGGGGGTCCTGCCGACAATGATGCCAGCAAGCAGTCGCCGCCCTACCCACAGCCAGGCTTGGAGTCACCCGGCATAGAGAGTCCCAGTTCTAGTGTCCTGGACAAGAAGGAAGGAGAACAGGCCAAGGCCATCTTTGAAAAAGTGAAAAGGTTCCGCCTGCATGTGGAACAAAGGGACATCATTTATCGGGTGTACCTGAAGCAGATAATAGTCAAAGTCATCCTGTTTGTCCTCATTGTATCGTACGTTCCGTATTTCTTGAGCTGCATCACTCTTGAAATCGACTGTTTGATTGACTTGCAGGCATTTACAGGCTATAAGCGCTACCAGTGTGTCTACTCCTTGGCAGAAATCTTTAAGGTCCTGGCTTCATTTTATGTCATCTTGGTGATACTCTATGGCCTCACCTCCTCCTATAGCTTGTGGTGGATGCTGAGGAGCTCCTTGAAGCAGTACTCCTTTGAGGCACTCAGGGAGAAAAGCAACTACAGTGACATCCCTGACGTCAGGAATGACTTTGCCTTTATCCTCCATCTGGCCGACCAGTACGATCCCCTGTACTCCAAGCGCTTCTCCATCTTCCTGTCAGAGGTCAGTGAGAACAAACTGAAGCAGATCAACCTCAACAATGAGTGGACGGTGGAGAAACTGAAAAGCAAGCTTGTGAAAAATTCCCAGGACAAGGTCGAGCTGCATCTCTTCATGCTCAGCGGTCTTCCGGATAACGTCTTTGAGTTAACGGAGATGGAGGTGCTGAGCCTGGAGCTCATCCCTGAGGTCAAGCTGCCGGCCGCCGTCTCTCAACTTGTTAACCTCAGGGAGCTTCACGTATACCATTCGTCTCTGGTAGTCGACCATCCTGCCCTGACCTTCCTAGAGGAGAACTTAAAAATCCTCCGCCTGAAATTTACTGAAATGGGAAAGATCCCACGCTGGGTGTTCCACCTGAAGAACCTCAAGGAACTGTACCTGTCAGGCTGTGTTCTCCCCGAGCAGCTGAGCACCATGCAGCTGGAGGGCTTTCAGGACTTGAAGAACCTGAGGACCCTCTACCTAAGGAGCAACCTGTCCCGCATCCCCCAGGTGGTGACGGACCTGCTGCCCTCCTTGCAGAAGCTGTCCCTCGACAACGAGGGCAGCAAACTGGTTGTGCTGAACAACTTGAAAAAGATGGTCAACCTGAAGAGCCTGGAGCTCCTCAGCTGTGACCTGGAGCGCATCCCTCACTCCATCTTCAGTCTGAACAACCTGCAGGAGCTGGACCTCAAGGAGAATAACCTGAAGACCGTGGAGGAGATCATCAGCTTCCAGCACCTGCCGCGCCTTTCCTGCCTGAAGCTCTGGCACAACAACATCGCTTACATCCCCGCCCAGATCGGAGCGCTGTCCAACCTGGAGCAGCTCTTCCTGGGCCACAACAACATCGAGAGCCTGCCCTTGCAGCTCTTCCTATGCACCAAGCTGCACTACTTGGATCTGAGCTATAACCACCTGACCTTCCTTCCCGAGGAAATCCAGTACCTGACCAACCTGCAGTCCTTCGACGTGACCAACAACAACGTGAGTAAATCTGTGCTTGCTTGTGCCGAGCTTGCGGGGTGGAACGTGGGGGGACGTCGGTGGGGGGCGGGGCATGCCCAGCCTCATCCCCTGTGATCCCGATCGATTACCAAAGCCCCGACTATTGGATTCCTACCTCACACATTATCGTGGAGGCATCAGCACTGTTCCTAACCCATCGTAGTTGTTCAACAAATGTTCTCGTGACTCTCTTTCCCCATTTTCTGCACAAATGTCACAGTTAAAGCGTTTAAAGTCATTAATTAGTGAGGGTAGAGCTGGCTTTTGTTTGGGAAGGTCTTGAGTACTTAGAAAGCTTGGTAAAATTTACCAAGAATAACCTTTTTAAACTGACGGAATTATGAATTATTCATAAATTCCTTTTGTTATACAGTAAGGAAAAAAAAACTTGCAATCTGCACATACCTCTAAAGAGACAACTCAAAATGAAAGGCCCGGCTCCATAATCCAACACTAGGGCTTCTTGGAGTCTCTTTCCAGCATCCATGCTTTAAAATGAACCATAATTTGTATCAGTTAAGGAAAATGTAACTTCACAGAAACAAGGGGGGAAAATGAGTCATTTCCTAGGTTAAAATGTGAAGTAGGAGGACAAAGCGAAAAAATCTTGCTGGTCTGACGGGCCAGAGAATGGGGGTGATGTGTGTGTGAGAGGGGAGCGCTGAAATCCAGGCGAGAACGTACTGGCCTCTCCACGTGAGGAGTGGGTACTGCTGCTTTCTTCCAACGCATCCCAAAATATGTATCTTCTGCACTTAGATTTGACAGCATGGGTATTAAAAAGATGCCAGAAAATTGAGATGAGAAAGAAGCTCACGTTGCTTTTTTAGAATGCTGAGACTCATGCATAAAAGAAGTGTGCCCCAGCCCATGGTAAATGAGAAATCCCTCAGCCTGAGGTTTTAAATTAACAATAAAATTACAATAGACCAATTTGGACTAGCAGTATACATGAGAATTACCTGAAGAGCCTGTTAAAATACACTTTTCAGGACAGCCCTCTGCCAATAAATATACACACAGATGCGCGCACACACACACACACAGAGGCACATACACACACACACAGATGCACGCATAGTCACACACAGACACATGCATGCACACACACACAGATGCACAGACACACAGGCACACACACATACAGGCACACACACGCGCACGCGTGTACACACACACACACATACACATAAAGCTTCTGATTGAATAGGTCCAGTGGAAGACACCCTAGTTTGCATCTCTGAAGTCTCTGGATGCTGATGCTGACCTGCTGATCAAATAGAAAATGGCAGTGAAGTTGAGTTGGTAAACTAGTTTAGGTTTCATTGTTCCATTGTTCCAGCTGGAGTAAAAAGTATGAACAATTGTTTGTATTGATTCTATTTGTGATCCAGTGAAGTCGCCACTCGAATAGTTAGCTGGCCATGCATTACTTGCATGAACAAGTCAAACTCTTTGGCAGGTAAACTTAAAGAAGCCTTAAGACCACTGGTGCTTTTTTTAGGGATAGAATTTGTAGCAGGCTTTCTTGGACCACCAGCCCCCAAATCATGACACGGAGACTTACTAGTTATGAATGCTCGGCCTTAGTTTAGGCTTATCCCACCAGCTCTTATAACTTATTTTTTTTTTTTTATTTTTTTTTTTTTTTGGTTTTTCTAGTTATTTTTTTTCTTTGTAGCTTTGCGCCTTTCCTGCCATGTGGGTGCTGGGAATTGAACCTGGGTCC